ACTTTATAAAAAATACGCTTGGAGTTGAGAACGCCGAACATATTGAATTCCAGAGGGTCCACAGGCTAGGCAAGCCAAAAGATGATACTGGTAACGACGGCCGCACGATTATCGCTCGGTTTCTACGATTTTCAGACAAGGAGCGTGTCTTCAAACAAGGGCGAAAGCTAAAGGGCACAAACTTCAAAATGTTTGAGGACATTCCAAAGGAACTACATCAACTGAGGAAAGCGCAGATGGAGAAATTAAAACAGGCAAGAAAAGAAGGTAGACGGGCCAACTTTAGCAAGTCTGAACCAGACAAACTTTACATCGATGGTAAATATATTAAATTCTGACTCTAAAAGAATCCTTTGAGTTTGAGCTTTATTCATTAGTTTGCCGAACGGCGATTACAATATTTTCTGGCGAAGTTATAAGTTTCTTTTCTTCTCAATATTATGTATGATTTTTAATTATTCGCTCTTTTGTATCAAAACAACATCAGATAAGATCATCATCCTTTTGTTAGATTTTTGCTCCATGGACACCTTTTATTTTGATTATATGTTTTTCTTTTTTTTTTGGCGGAGGAGCTTTCTTCTGTGTAGGATCTAGGTTGTTAGTAGATGGATATTAATCTGGAACACGAGGTAGGTGTATTATCGTGTTTTTCCCTCTTGTTCCATTTTTGTGTAGTGTACGTAAAAGGCAATAGAATCTATTATTCTAATATATATGTACTGATGAAATTTTTCGCGTTAATTTCCTCTAATTTGAGGAACGGTCTATTCTTATCTAAATATTGCAAAAACCAAGCGGAGCGCTCTTTAATCATATCTCATGTTTTCTGCTGCAATCACAGTTTTACTGGTATTTTACTACTACTGAAATGTGCGCTAGCACGTGCAAATTAGTTTCCTTAAATGTAAGGGGCATTGGAAATTTTAAGAAAAGGAGAACGATATTTACTTGGTGTCGAAAGCAAAAAGCAGATTTCATCTTCTTACAAGAAACCCACTCAAAAATGGACTCAGAGACGTGTTGGAGAAATGAATGGGGGAGTGACATTATTATGGCCCACGGGACCTCCAATTCACGCGGGGTGGCAATTCTTGTTAAAAAGGATGTTGATTGCACAATTCACTCAAAAGTGTTGGACCCCTCAGGACAATATGTTATAATAAAAGCAGAATTTAATGACAAAATGTATGTTCTAATCAACATCTACGCTCCGAATAAAGATTCGAATATTGTGAGCTTTTTCAACAATCTACTTCTGATTTTGCGAAATAATAATTTTGATGAAGAAGAAAACATTATTATGGGAGGGGATTTCAACTGCCCTCTTAATCCACTTATGGATAAGAAAGGAGGCCAATTGAGTCCAAGAAAATCTGTTGTATCAACCATTAGCAACCTACTAGAAGAGTTTGATCTCGTCGATATATGGAGAGTTAAGGATCCTCAGAAAAAGAGCTTTACATGGAGTCAAAATTTGCCTACGATCTTTTGTCGTTTAGACTATTGGCTGATCTCAAATTCTTTACATGATCTAGTTAAAGCAGCAGATATAATCCCGGCAATTAGAACAGACCATGCAGCTATTACTCTTGAACTTGTATACAAATCTGATGACATCAAAGGTCCAGGTATCTGGAAAATGAATTGCTCCCTTTTAGATGATGAAGACTACGTTAATGGCATCACGGAGAGGATACCTATCTGGTTAGCTGAAGGTCGTAAGGACCTTTCGAACTGTCGAAGTATTTGGGACTGGTTAAAATACAACATAAGAGCGCACACTATACAGTATTCCAAAAGAAAAGCTCGAGAAAGAAGTGAAAGAGAAAAGGAACTCCAAGAACAACTCGCTAATGCAAAGTGTGCTTTCGAAACAGATCCTAGTATTTTGAATGCAAATCTTCTTAACTGTGCTAAAGATATGCTCGAATTGTTTTATGAAGAAAAGGTTAAAGGAATAATTATTCGAGCGCGAGCCCGCTGGCACGAGCATGGCGAAAAAAAGCACCAAATACTTTTTAAACCTAGAAAAAAGAAATCATGTCAAAAACATATGAGAAAATTAAATATCAACGGCTCGTCTACCACGGATCCGTCAAAGATCTTGTCCGAACAACAACGTTTTTATCAAGAATTGTACTCGAGTAAGAACATGAATAATGAAAATTTGCACGAAATTAAATCCTTTTTAAAAGATTTAAACATTCCTAAACTGTCAGAAGAACAAAAATGTCTTGTGAAGGTGAAATTACTCCAGAAGAATGCGCACTTATCTTGGATAGTTTCCAAAACAATAAAACTCCAGGGAACGATGGAATTCCCATCGAATTCTATAAAAAAATTTTGGCCTTTACTTTGTGAGCCTTTCATTCTCTGTGCTAACGAATGCTTCGAAAAAGGTGAAATGTCGCGCTCTCAAAAGCAAGCAGTAATTACGCTCATCGAAAAGAAAGGAAAAGATCGATCCTTTCTGGAAAACTGGAGGCCGATATCTTTGGTAAATGTGGATGCGAAAATTATGGCTAAAGTTATAGCTGCTAGAATACAAAATGTTCTACCAAGCATCATCCATTACAATCAAACTGGATTTATAAAAGACCGCTATATCGGCGAAACAGTACGATCGATTTTTGACATAATGAACTTCACTGTTGAAGAAAACATTCCTGGTTTGTTGATCTTTATCGATTTTCAGAAGGCTTTCGATAGTTTAGAACGCAGCTTTTACAAAGTTGTCTAGAATCTTTTAATTTTGGCCAGAGCTTTATTAGATGGGTTTCTTCTTTTTACAAAAATATACAAAGCTGTGTTATCAATAATGGCATAATCTCTGATTACTTTACAGTCGAACGAGGAGTTAGGCAAGGTGATCCTCTTTCTCCTTATCTCTTTGTAGTAGCTGTTGAAACCTTGGCTATCGCAATAAGACAAAATCCAATGATAAAAGGTATTACTATTGACAAGAAGGAAACAAAATTACTTCAATACGCAGATGACACAACTGTGGTTCTGTCAGACATCGACTCAGCCCAAACCCTTTTCAGGTTGTTAGACGATTTTAAGAGGATTTCAGGTTTAGCCGTTAATCCCTCAAAAACTGAAGCAATGTGGATCGGATCATTAAAGGAAAATAAATCAAAACCTTTTGGTATTAAATGGCCAAATGAACCAATTAAAGCTCTCGGAGTCTATTACACCTATGATCAAAAATTACTACACGAGAAAAATTTTATAGAAAGACTAGACAGCGTGAAAAAATTGGTACACATATGGTCTGCGCGAGGTCTTTCCCTTTATGGAAAGGTTACTGTTATCAAATCGTTGATTGTTCCAAAATTTGTTTACGTGGCATCATTATTAACAATTCCAAAGTGGGCGGTTCAAGAATTGAACAGATTGATATTTAAATTCCTATGGAGAGGTGTTGACAAGGTCACACGTTTGTCAACAATAAATGACTACCAAAAAAGTGGCTTGAAAATGATTGACCTAGAAACGATGGTCAAATCTTTAAGACTTGCCTGGCTAAAGAGAATCTTCAGCGAAAACGACAGCACATGGAAGAATTACTTGCGTTATCAACTTAAAAGTTTCGGGGGCCTCTTTCTATTTCATTGTAACTACGATGTAAAAGACGTTCTAATCAAATCACCTTTTTACTCCGAGCTGCTTCAATGGTGGGCTGATTTTCGTGATGACTTTTCTACAGATAAAATGCGGTATAATATTATTTGGAATAATAAAGACATTAGGATAAATAATAAGCCAATTTTTTACAAAACATTTTTCGACAATGGTTTTCTTCTGGTTTCCGATCTTCGATTTGATTTAAGTATTGCAGAGTCACATAGTATCATTATAAGAAAGATTGAAAAAACCAATTTCTTAGTATGGGCAGGTCTCAGATATGCTGTACCGTCCCACTTAAAAGCTAATCCTAGAACATCTGATCACACCTTTTTAACAATGCCACCCTCCGTGATAATTAAGAATAACGACTTTGATATTTTAAAGAAGAAATCAAAAGATTATTATTCATTGCTCATAAGTAAAAAGGCACAGCTTTCTAAAAATACCTCAGCTTTAAAACGGGATTTTAATCTGACGGAAGATCAGCTAGAAAAAGCATTTCTTTTACCGCACATCATATGTTCTGAATTCTATGTTAAGGCCTTTCAGTACAAGGTCCTTAACTCCATATTATATACTAACACTAAGTTATATAAAATAGGATATATTACCGATGATAAATGCTCCTTTTGTATGTATAAACCGGAAACCCTTATCCACCTTCTTTTTGACTGTGTATATGCAAAACTTTTCTGGAAGGATTTTGAATTATATTATTACTCGTTGTCAAATGAATTGATCAACCTTAGTCTACAGGATGTGCTATTAGGTATAATAGCCGTACAATGCCCTTTACTGAACTACTTTCTACTAATAGCCAAACTATATATATGGGATTGCAGAAGATCACAAACTCGTCCAATTATTGCAGGGTTTAAGTTAAGGATTAATATTAAATCCGAAACAGAAAAATATATTTGTACCAAAAATAGAACTTTAAGTGACTTTTATAAAAAATGGGCGATATTGTGCACCGCGTAACGCTTTATTATTATTAGTATTATTATTATTACAGTCTAGGCCGTTCAGTTCTCTTTACTTATCCTTCTAAATAAAAAGAAAAACACTTATACTTAATCTATATATAATCCTCTTATACTTTTCTGTTGCCTCTGTGTTTATAGTGTTAGTATTGTAAATTATGTTAGTAATCACTTTAGTTTAAGTTATTAGTCGTCAATAATTGTAATTGTAACTTTCTTTTCTTCTTTCTATGTAAAAAAAGTAATGAGTACGGTGTTGTAAGTAGTGTAAGCACTGTAAGTTGTGTTAAGTAACATTTTGTAAGTAGTGCTTGTGTTGTAAATAAATAAAAAAATTATTATAAAAAAAAAAAAAAAAAAAAAAAAAAAAAAAAAAAAAAAAAAATGCTGTTGATAGAAAGAAGACCACCAGTTATTCCCAAGTCAAACAAGTACGTTTTTGCAAGAGCTACCAAAGGCTCTTTGGGTCATCTTCGTGGCTGGGACTGCGTCTCAGTCAGCGTTAAGGAAGTAAAGGAAATACAGAAGCCAGAGGCAATTACCAGCACAAAGCTGCGAAAATACATTGCGACCGTGTCACAAACTGCGGCATTGACGGAACTAGACGTACACTGGCTCGCACGCCACCTTGGACACGATATTAGAGTTCATGGTCAGTTTTATCGCCTTCACGAATCTACAGCAGAGTTAGCTAAGGTCAGCAAACTCCTTTTTAGCAGTTGACGCGGGTAATATCGAACAGGAGCAAGGAGAGAGTCTTCTTCTTCTTCGCAAGTTCTTAAATCATCAGCTCTGAGGAAAAAAAGATGAGGCAGCGATAAGAGAATGCCAGAACTTCATTGAACATCAAGATTACCTTATTATAGGAATTAACGCTCCATGAAATTAAGGTATTAGAAATTAACGCGAATTTAATGGGAAACGACTTTCGAATGAAGAAAATTAACGCGAAAGAGGAGGTAGAGTTTCATAATAAAGGAAATTAACGCGATTAAGAGACAGTTGGTGGTGACAACTGGAACAAATTTATTTCAACACTGGATGCAAAAAATTCAAAACTGAACAAAACTGAGCTGAAATCACTTCTGACAGCGACAACGATGAAGATGAACTCGAAATATTGTAAACCTTCACCTTAGCTTTTGTGAAAGATGAAAAATAAAGGGTAAATGGAAAGAAAGAAAGTTTGTAGTTAATGTTTTTTAGGTGTCAAGAATTGGGTTAAAATACTGAAATTAAGAGCGCGGAAATTAACGCTGCTCTTAATTAACGCCGCGGAAATTAGCGCTCAAAAAATTAACGCGACTTAAATTAACGCGAATTTTAACGATTCGCGTTAATTTCTTGGAGTGTTAATTTCCTATAATAAGGTAGTTCTCGGTCCCTTGTCTGTCTGGGGTCAAAGAAGCAAAACAAAGTAGAAATTCTGCCACCAGCTGGAGACCTAATGTTGCTTAAAAATCACCTCGAAAAAAAGATGGCAGATCTTTCAGAGATTTTGAACGAAGGGGAAGAGACACAAACCGCCGCCGGCCACTGGAGCAGCTTGGCCAAGACGACACTGGCAATAATAATCACCTTTAACAAAAGAAGATCAGGGGAGACTGCGACCCTACAATTATCGTAAATGTGGACCAAACTGGGCCAGCTGCAGTGGTGCCCTAAAGGCATCGTTGCGCCCCCCCTCCCTTTGGGGAGAAAGAGTTAATCGTGGTACGAATATGCGAACAAAAGAAGAAGAACAACGGATTTTATTCCTTTAAATCTCTTTGTAGGGAAGACCTCGAAAATATGTCTTAAGTGAGCGGTCACATGTGTGCTTGTTCTGTAAGAAGCCTCAAAAAAAGGTCAGAAGACACCAAACCAGACAGTGAATCACAAGTGACAAAAGCAATGACCATGGAAACTGCCCAGGAGTAAGATTTGGCATTTGAGAGGCTTCGCCTCTTAGGTGATTACCAACACAACTGCGACCCGTTGGCCCTGGGTGAGGGAGAATTCCGTCGTGGTGCGAATGCCACAAAAAGTAGAAGGAGGGATTGCGGCTAACTTCTTGCCTTGCCCTAGTTGTATGTGTTTTTTCATGGCGTCAGAGCTCTGGAGGCACCGACAAAATTGTCCCCATCGGTCCCAAGAGAGACTCCCCCAAAGTGGTCGAGAGTACAGCAAGAAGCTAAACTTCTATTACCAACAACAATATTGTCCACCAAGATGTGAAAAAGAGCTTCCATGACAACGCCCTTTCCTCTATGAACAACGACGAAATATCAGCCATCGCCAGAAAAGACACCCTAATTGTTAACTTTGGCGCCGCTATCTTTGAAAAAGTCGGGACAAAAAACATAAATTATGTTTCCCAAAGAATGCGCCAGTTAGCCAGGCTCCTCCAAACGTTACGGAAAGAAAACGAGGCTGCCAATTTCGATGACTTCATAGACACTGCACGATTTGACGAGCTAGTTGCTGCAGTGAAAGATCTGTGTGGATTCAAGGAAAAATCTCGGTTGGAAATAGATGTCCCCTCACTGGCCTTAAAGCTTGGGCACAGCATAAAACAGTGTGCGCAAGTTCTTAAATCATCAGCTCTGAGGAAAAAAAGATGAGGCAGCGATAAGAGAATGCCAGAACTTCATTGAACATCAAGATTACCTTATTATAGGAATTAACGCTCCATGAAATTAAGGTATTAGAAATTAACGCGAATTTAATGGGAAACGACTTTCGAATGAAGAAAATTAACGCTAAAGAGGAGGTAGAGTTTCATAATAAAGGAAATTAACGCGATTAAGAGACAGTTGGTGGTGACAACTGGAACAAATTTATTTCAACACTGGATGCAAAAAAATCAAAACTGAACAAAACTGAGCTGAAATCACTTCTGACAGCGACAACGATGAAGATGAACTCGAAATATTGTAAACCTTCACCTTAGCTTTTGTGAAAGATGAAAAATAAAGGGTAAATGGAAAGAAAGAAAGTTTGTAGTTAATGTTTTTTAGGTGTCAAGAATTGGGTTAAAATACTGGAAATTAAGAGCGCGGAAATTAACGCTGCTCTTAATTAACGCCGCGGAAATTAGCGCTCAAAAAAATTAACGCGACTTAAATTAACGCGAATTTTAACGATTCGCGTTAATTTCTTGGAGTGTTAATTTCCTATAATAAGGTAGTTCTCGGTCCCTTGTCTGTCTGGGGTCAAAGAAGCAAAACAAAGTAGAAATTCTGCCACCAGCTGGAGACCTAATGTTGCTTAAAAATCACCTCGAAAAAAAGATGGCAGATCTTTCAGAGATTTTGAACGAAGGGGAAGAGACACAAACCGCCGCCGGCCACTGGAGCAGCTTGGCCAAGACGACACTGGCAATAATAATCACCTTTAACAAAAGAAGATCAGGGGAGACTGCGACCCTACAATTATCGTAAATGTGGACCAAACTGGGCCAGCTGCAGTGGTGCCCTAAAGGCATCGTTGCGCCCCCCCTCCCTTTGGGGAGAAAGAGTTAATCGTGGTACGAATATGCGAACAAAAGAAGAAGAACAACGGATTTTATTCCTTTAAATCTCTTTGTAGGGAAGACCTCGAAAATATGTCTTAAGTGAGCGGTCACATGTGTGCTTGTTCTGTAAGAAGCCTCAAAAAAAGGTCAGAAGACACCAAACCAGACAGTGAATCACAAGTGACAAAAGCAATGACCATGGAAACTGCCCAGGAGTAAGATTTGGCATTTGAGAGGCTTCGCCTCTTAGGTGATTACCAACACAACTGCGACCCGTTGGCCCTGGGTGAGGGAGAATTCCGTCGTGGTGCGAATGCCACAAAAAGTAGAAGGAGGGATTGCGGCTAACTTCTTGCCTTGCCCTAGTTGTATGTGTTTTTTCATGGCGTCAGAGCTCTGGAGGCACAGACAGTATGACCCCTATCGGTCACAAGAGCCCCCCCCCAAAAAAAGAAATGGTCAACGGTACAGCAAGAAGCTAAGCTATCATTATCGATAACAGTACTGTCTACTAATGATGTGGAAAAGAACTTCCAGGAAAACGTTTTTGTGAGTGCAAACATCAGCTAAAAGAAAAAGCTACTGAAGAGGGTTTCTCTTACTTTACTTTCACCTCCCTCGGGTTTCCCACCTTCAAGTAAACAGGTGCTTAGTTTGTTGGTGTGATTTGTTATGTTTATGCGAATTATACTCTTGAGCCTGCGACCGCATACGTGTTTCCGGTCGTCTCGTCTCCTATTTTTCGGAAGGAGAGAAGCGACGCGGACCAGAAATACGTCTTCAGTCGCAATTTTTAATGTTCGTCTTATTCGTTCTTGTAATCAGACTGCAATTACGCACCTTTGCGTCACAGCAGAGTTTTGCTTCTAGTAACCTGTTTAACCTAGTTGGTTGTCCAATTTCTTATTACAGATCATCAGCCGTAAATGATCTAATAGATACCCGGTAGTTTTAACTTTATTTTAAGCGTCCAAAATAGGGCGCTAACCGTAATGGAGAGAGGCTTTTATTGTCATTTCAAATAATATTCTCTCGGCGAAAATATTAATAGAGTTTGCAAAGAGAGGAATTTTATGCAGCTCATTGATACTTCTACGCCGTCCAGATCATATCGGTTTTTTTAGTTTCACCTTCGATGTTAGAACCCTAATTCAAGATCATTGTGCTAATGTCGTTAGTCAATCGTTACTTTGGACTTGACACTGACCACGATGCACCACGATGCAATGCACAAACCCTTATTTATCAAGCAAAAAAACTGCTCCTTTTTGATGATTGCTCACACCCTGCAAGCAGAGGTTTCTCTCTTGCATGACTTACGAAGTCTTAAACGTTAAAAGCCTTGAAGAGAGAAACCTCTGCTAGCATAAAGAAGACAGGGGCATCTAATACAAAGCTAAAGGCGGAAGCGAAGCGTTTATTAGACAAGAGGCTTTTTTTTATAGGGTGCGTCAATTGGATCAGCTACGGTATTTATTTAGTGATTGAGTATTTAAATTTAAAAAAAATCATTGAAAAGGTTTACATTACGCGACAGCCCGGCTTATATAAAAAGTTGATATGATTGATATGTATTACCCTCTAAACAATCAAATAAATACACCTTATTCGATGGTTTAGCATATAATACGTGCGGATATTTTGCGAGTTGCGCAGTAAAAATACGAGCAATGAGCAAACTGTCCGTTCATATTATATGCTAAACCATCGAATAAGAGGTTTATTATTCCACTACAAAAAAACTTGTTATTTTGCAATTGATTTCTATTTTTTTGGTAAGAGTCAATTCGGAAACATCCTGATTCCGTCTGTGAGAATGACGTTAACAGTGTGCAAAATGTTCGCGCGTGTTATATGCCAAACCATTGAATGAGAGGTTAATTATTTTATTGCAAACGAAAAAATGTTATTTTTGCTTCTATTTTCTAGTAAGAGTATCCAAAACATCCTGATTCTGTCAGTCATAGTTGCTCCTTTTGCATCGGCCGGTATTCGCCCTTTTGTAAACCGGTTAAACCAGGACACTACAGTGTATTACGGCCTCGTATTTTGAGCTTTCTCTTGACCTTGTATGGTAAAATAACATAATAGTGGAATAATAAAGAAAGGTATATTTTATATTTATCATTCATATTGTTAATTTAGTGGCCCACCAGAACGTACCGTTTACGTGTTCAGAAACCCAATAAACAACGATTTAAAAACGTGTTTTGCGTTTCTTCTTTTACGCCAGCAGACAGACAGACAGCTGGGTATAACGATAAAGTCGCAATTAAGTCGCAGAACCGGCGAAGAGGTTTAAGATTACATTTTAGGCACATCGATCTGATTCCAAAGCTTAATAGTCCGGTAGTATAAAGTTCTTTGTCCGGGGACTGTTTTTTACCATTTTGCCATAAAATATAACTGTCTGGACAACCGCACGGAGGCGTTTGCTATGCAGGCTAGTAGTGCAGAAAGGAAAGGTTATCCGTTATAGTGTGAATACGTATCCGATATGTGACTCACCACTTTATCGATTGGCACCCGTTACAGATGATTGGCCGAAATCACCGTTCTTAGAACAGAAACCCTAGTGTGTTGGAGTTCATTTTGGTCCCAGCCGAAGAGACCTTAGTGGTTTGCTTCTCAGGAGCGCCTATTATATCATGACAATGACACTTTAAGTGGTTCGACTCTATTTAAAATAGACGAAAATTAAATGGTATGCGATTATTAAAGGTGCGGTCCTCGTAATGAAGGTGTGTAAACACGTTACCCGCAGAATGGCCTAGTCAGTAAACTTTTCCAAGCAAAAATTTTGAGGGGAGCTTTTAAAAATTAAAGTAATTTTGAATTGTAGTAATGATGGCTTATTGTATTACTTATCGGTCCTCGCAACCTCTATGTAGAACAAACCAGATTTTTGGTCCTCGTAAACCAGTGTGTGTATGAGGCAAAACATTTAGAAGGGCGTTGTCGCTAATATCACGGTAGATTATTAAAAGGTTAATGTCAAAGCTACAAACTGATAATAGAGGAGGTCAATAGCGAACGGATTTTAGGTGGTCCCCGTAGAGTCGGTTTGGGAACCGGTACCCACAAACCACCAAAGGTGGGTATGTGTGTGTGTGTATGTGTGTGTGTGTGTGTGTGTGTGTGTATGTGTGTATGTATGTAAGTATGTATTATTAACGTTTAACGGAAGTACCCAGAATTCGGAACTACTGTAACATTGCTGTTTGCATAATTAAGCAAAAGGGTTAAGAACAGGAAAGAAATAAGCACTTTTCGCGTGTACTTAGTATTGCTAACAGTGCTTCCAATGCGTGTGAGGAACAAGATTTCCATTTACTTTATCATGTGTTCCATCCCTGGTTAAGGCTCGTACTTGTGCCAGAGACCCCGTGCAACAGCATTTCTTCTGTATCCCATACGGTGTCTCCACTGAAGCACACGTATGGCATGCATAAAGCACAGGAACATACCAATTTAATGAACTCCTGCACATCAACCATAACACATTTTGTTGAACATTCTACGCGGCTGTATGACTGTAAAAGTTACATTTTGAATAGCATTTACAAACTGTTGACCGAAAATGATTTTGTATTCATACATATTAACTATCATTTGTTTTCCCGCAGGCAGTTGAACGAGAACGAGCTCAAGACGCTTCCGTCAGGAATATTTTCAGATCTCTCTTCCTTGTGGTTTTTGTAAGTAAACAACGCATTTCTTTGCTTATAAATCCATACGACTCTCCTCATAGGATATAAAGGCCTCTCGTTGGCGCGCTAATGAACAAGAGCGGATTGATTGATTATCCTTAGGATGTCGCTATTTGTTTTCGCTTTTTGCTAACTTTTTGCACAGATTTTTCTATATTTTGGGGTAGGTCTTATATGAACCGAGGCGAACGCCAAGGCTAATAACACTTACCGAGACTTTGATTTAAACTGGATATCACAATAACCGAATTTAATAATTGTTTTATTACAAATTATTTTAAAGAGAAAAATAGAAATAGACAAACACATCATCGCACGGACCACAGTTGGACATTGCTCTTAATAGAAATCATGCATTGTGCGGACAATCTACATATTCAAGAGTCAGTTACCTGCTAGCAGATAACTAACAAATCTGTAGGTTGCATGCGCTGATTTCAAAAATTAACTGACGGCTTTTACAGAATGAGAAGAAAGATGGTGAACACTATGTATAACAATTCGTATTATTAGTACTACCAATAAAGTGCATGTTTGTTGTTGTTTTGTTATGAAACTGTATGTGGCAACAGGGTATTTGGTAAGGTTATCAGGGTGTGGCATACCACATTCGCATTGAGAAGCACAATTATCGCAGCAAAGATAAGGTTGTTCTGGTTACATGGACACACACTCAAAGTGATTTAGAATGTTTTTCCTCCTGCACTCTTTAGTCTTAACGAAAGACTTCATATGGGCATCAATATGGTTCAACATAACTCCATGATATAAAACATAAGCAATGCTTTGGTGGCCGTGCCTTCCTGCCCTACCAGTTTCTTGAACATAGGACTCTACATTTTTGGAGGGTCCAAAATGTATGACTCTATGAACACCTCGGCAGTCAACGCCCATTCCGAAGGCTATTGTTGCTATTAGCAGACGGATAATACCATTTTCAGATTGAAACGACTCCAAAATGGTCTTCTCATTTTCTTCAGGAGTGCACGAATGCAACATTTCAACAAGCACATTTTTTTAGTCATCTCCAATAAACATGTTCGTTCCTCGCAAACCCTTGATTGTAGCGTAAACTAAACCACATTGCCTTATAGTCTGCTGGCAGTAAATGATTGTTCTGTCTGTTTTCTCCTGACTGTGTTTCAGTTCATCAGTGAGCCAGCTGAAATAAAATTCAAGTTCCGTGTCCTTATCCATATATTGTACAACATAGGCAACATTTAATTTATTGGGACTTTCTTTAATTTCCACTACATTTTCCATGTTCAGAAGACTTAAAATTGTGTCTCTAGTCAGTTTGGTTGCAGTTGCAGTCAAGGCTACCAAAGGCACATTAGGTGCGAGAGACCTTAGTTCGTATAGCTTTGAGTAACACTCGCGGAATGCAGCCATTTTATTATCTTGAGATGTTCCCCTACACATTAAAAAGAAAATACACGGCATAAATCTATTGCATAGGATAACTTGTTGCATTGATATAGACGCTTATTTATATAAAGACTTACCACTGCCTTACAACATGTGCCTCATCGACTGCTATCGCACATAGTTTTTTGAAATAAACAGAGTTCGTTAGCATTAATCTCCAGTGTTCGTTTTTCAGCCATGCTTCGGGTGATCCGTAAACTAAGGAATATTCACCATTAACAACACGAGTGCGTTCACCGTCCTCAAGTGAAGTTATGTTGCATGCTTTAAGCCCTAGTTCCCTCAAATAAGACACTTGGTCGTCCATAAGGCTTATTAATGGTGAAACAACTACCACAATATGACCTGGCTGTTTTGAAGTGAGATCAAACACGAGTGGTAATGCTTGATAGAGGAGAGATTTCCCAAAACCAGTAGGAAGATTAATAAAAACATCCCTTCCTTCTTCCACAATTTTCGTAATTCCGTTATTTTGCGGCGCATTTAAGGCAGAAATTCGAAATGTCTTGCTAACAACGTCAAAAGCTTCTTCAATGGTCGCCATTTTGGAAGCAGTGGACTCCAAGATAAAAGAAACAATATGATTGGTTGGATTACGTTGGCGCGCCTAGTTCCCGAAATATGTAAACTACATGGTGATTGGTTTAAGTGGTGGAAAGGAATGTTGTTTGAATGTGAGCAGCCGTTTGTGGGGAGGAGCGTTGCGTGACGATACTAAAAACGGCTGCGAAGGAGACTAGCACGAGCAGAGTGCGGGATATAAAATAAACAAAAAAAAAATGGTGGGAAGCAAAATCTATGAGAACGATTCATATTTAAGAGCCGTTGTCGGTAGCTATCGAGAAACCGGCGCCATACAGTTCAAAAAATTCTTTCTTTTTTTTTTTATTTCACCAAAAGACCCTTTTGGTAAACTATTTTCAAAAACCGTGACAATATCTGAAAAGTTCTAGCGAAGCCCCGTTTTTGCGAAAAATAGGAAAGTTTAAAATCGGCCTAAACCTGTGAATTATGCAAATTGAGGCATTTTCAAAACGCTCGTACGAAAAACCGAAAGGCAGTCTATACTTTATCTTTACACGGTGTGATAAAGTTTTCTCAAAGTTACTTTCAAGCTATGTTTTATCGCGATTTAAGATTTTTTTCTATTTCTTACACCCGTTCAAAGAAAGTAATGTTTCGTCATTTGTTGACACCGTAAATTTTACCATTTTTCAGAAGGTAGTAGTATCAAGGGTACATTTATATATATTTAGCGGTTGTGAAAATTGTCTTTTGAAAAAACCATGCATTCTTCCTGTATGTCATACTAAAAGCTTTTTTTTGTCCCGCCAAAATCGAGCGCGCTAGACGAAAATGTATCAAGTGCACTTTAATTTACGATTTCTCCGTTCTTAATTTATTCAGCTAACACTGGTAGAAAGAGCGATATTTTGGCGTCGTTGTCTGCGCACTGCAGTGCTTGAGATCATAATTACTTGTCTGATCGTTACCACAGACTGTGAGAGTAAACAGTGGCGTGTCATCCAGGCGTGAGCTTCATTATGGTGTTCCCCAGGGTAGTGTCCTCTGACCTATTTTATTCCTACTTTATACTTCACCCTTGGGTGATATTATGAGACACCAGTCAAGTTGCCTTTCATTTGTATGCCGATGATACGCCTCTCATTCTCTGCTGAACTGGCAAAATTAGCGGTAGAAGGCTGTGTGCGAGATATCTATGCTTGGATGACAGTAAACAAGCTTAAGAATGAACAGGGGCAAGACAGAACTAGTTGTGCTAAATGCTAGTCATCGCCAACCTTCGCCCCTGACGTCAATTTCAGTTTGTGATGAGGTGATTAGCAAGTCATCGGTAGCTACAATACTCGTCACAAATCTTGAAACACTTGTCTGCGTTTCCCCTTTCCCAGTGTTAATTTGGGTATTAAAATCGTCTCAGTGCTCCAAAATACACGTGGCTCAACATTGGGAAAGGAGATGGGCACTTTTGAGTGAGAACAAATGTGTGAAGAGTGAATGTAAGAAATTTAAGAGAAAATTAAAGGGAAACGGTTTTTGTTTCAACGATTTGTGACGAGTATTGTAGAAACATTGGTGTTCTGTGTGATACATTCAAGTCGATGAAATATCTTCTCACAGTCAGCCGTTTGCAAGGCAGGCCTCTACCACCTTCGAAACGTTAGCCACATAAAGAAATATATTAGTCGCCATACGGCGGAAATACTTGTGTATGCTTTCATTACTTCCAGACTGGACTTCTGTATTTCACTTCTGTATATATAGACTACGGAAACAAACTATCAAGTTACTTCAGCATGTTCAAAATGTAGCGGCCAGAATCCTTTCGCCTACATCTAAACATGAACATTTCTCACCAGTATTACAGGAAATGCATTAACTTGCTATAGAGAAGCGCATAACTTTTAAGATTCTTTTAATGACCTTTAAAGGTTTAAATGGCTTAGCCCCTTCATATTTGTCCGACCCAGTTACGAGGTATATTCATTGGCGTCTGCTTGATGTCCGATATAATCTGCGGAAATGTGGTTTCCGGTCTTTTTCAGCAGCCTCTCCACAGTTGTGGAATGATATGCCACTAGAAATTAGATCTTGTGAGAGTTTTTAGGAAAAACTTTAATACTTATCTGTTTAGGGAAGCGTTGTCAATAAATTAGTCCTCTTATGTTTTAGTCGTTTAATTGAAAGTGTTTTTTATCAGTTAGTTTTACTATTTTTAATTCGTTTCAGTTTAATGTAATTTATGAACAATATTTGTAATATTTTAAACATTTCTTGTAAAGCGCCATTGGGTATTGCTGGAAATGGCCCCATAAAAATAAAGTATTATTCTTATTATTTGACTATAAGGAGGGGATTAATGCAACTTATCAAATCGCCTACCTGTCAACTCTCCTAATTTCGCCGAATCCCTCTCTCCACGCTTAGAACTTAGACAACTTGCCTTGTATTTCGTATCCTCAAAAACGCATCGCTCTACATACGCAATTAATACTTCGCAATCGTTCTTTGAGCGTGTATGGAGTACTTAATTATGCTCTAATAAGAAGTCACAATCCTGTGTATTGTGCTACAGGTGTAGTGGCTTTAACGTGTTTCTTATTTCGCGCTTAAATGGCACATTTACCGCTTTTAAGTGGTGCCTTCAATAGTGCCTCCAAGGCAAAGACACAATGTTGAAAACGGAAATTAAAGTACGATAATCAAGCTTCTATGCACGGTTACATATCGCGCATTGATAATCTAACGCTTTGAAAGCCATGAACATTCCGTCAGTCAATTTTTAGCCTAAAAGAAATCTTTAAAGGTTTCGTCTATTAAGCGTTATTTAAGAGGTAAGTGAGATGTGAGATCACTGACAAAACTTACAGTCATTATTCAAAAGTATGATAAAATAGCGTCCTTTAAGGACGCTACAGTTCTTTAACAGTGATTTTAAAGCTAAAATAGCCTGCGTAGCTAATCCGGTCTCTTTTTAGAGCGAAGGGAGGGTGTTCCCCTCGTTTGCCTTTGAAGTCCCCCTATATAAAATAACCAAGAAAGTCATCGGCACCAATGCCACGCAGGTTAAAGCTACAACCAAAACTATGTACTCATTGTAATGCATATCAATTGCACCATAATGACCGTACAGAAAATCAACTTTCTATATACGAGTAGAAAGTAGTAACAGTATAGCGTTATAGTGTAGCGTTACCATTATCGTGCAAATGGCCTTCACGCAAGTAACAATCGGTTTAGCACATGGCGAAATTCAATAGTAAAGCGCTTTGATACAAGATAAAAGCTACAAAAGCAACGTGACAAAAAAGCCAGCGAAAGATTTATAATGAAATATATATGTTTACTTTCAAAAAAGCTAGTTTCCTTGATCAAAACGTGCCGCACATGTAAGTAGCCCAATTTCTGATTAAAAATTCCATGGTTTGTAGACTAGATTTCTTTTTCAGTCAAAGAGGCAACTAAGCATCGTGACGAACAATTTGATGGTATTTATTCAGAAAACCCAGAAAAAACAGAAAAAAGCTATGTCGGTACTTCCTTTCCCCATTCCAGTCAACTCTTGTGCGTTGATCCACGTTAACGGCCTGAATTTTTTTCAGGCTTTCTTTTCGCAACTGCATGCATAAGTTGCGCAGACAACTACAATGACCTTCCTTCAAATAATTCTTCAGTCCGAAGTTCACATATATGATTTTCATATATTTATAATTTCATCATTATCCTTTCACGGATTTATCACGGACCAATTCAACGACCTGCTCCCATCCAGTTGTCTTGTTAGCTTAATTGGTAGAGCGCTGCACCAGTATCGCAGTAGCCTGAGATCATGCCCTCTCCCTATTATCCCTTTATGTCTCTCACGGGAAGAGGGCATGATACATTTCTTTGTCGGATCACATGTAAAAATGCCAGAATCTGGACTTTTTTCTGATTGGATAGGAAACAATGCGGATGATTTGCGCTGTTCCGATTGGCCAAAATGACGCCATCCGTTAGTTGTTGTTGATTTCAGTCTGCATTTTTGCTTGCGTAATGAGCAGTGAATACACACGCGAGTTCGTTATGAAATTTCTGCCCGCTCAGTTTTCTTGAATTTGAAGAATGCCTAAATAGAAGTTTCATCCATTGAAATATTTACCATCTCATCGTATACCAAAACAGTTGCAGTCAAAACTTCACCGATCATTTGAATGCAATTTGATACCGGCTACAAGTTACAGAAGCGACAAACGGGTTCACTTTTCAAATAATCAATTCATAAATGGAATCTTGACCTGGTTTGACTGTATTTCCTCCTTCAGAAATCATGCTGCGAATTATTCTGAGCGATCTTCGCTTTCACAACACCTTTCAGTTCGTGAAATATGGTGCTTCAGCCTAATTTTTTTCCACTGCTTTCGGTACAGAACGAAGTCAACGAGCTTTAACCAGTAAATTCTTTATTATTTGTAACTATTCATAAAGGTACGACAGCTCCAGCTAGCAGTATATTTCATCACAAAAACAACACATTATTTTTTTTTTTTACGAAGCGCCATCTGAACACGGACGTACTTAAAAATTTTTTTTCCCTAAAACTGATTTCAAAAGAGACATTATTCGCGCCAAAATTTGATTCCCGTTTGGTAAACGCTTATTGGCTAAAAACATGACAGGTCAAGCAAACGTTAGATTATGTAAATTAGGGGGCGGTTGACTGCTTGTTAAATAAATGTATCAGGCGTTATTTTTTTTCCCTCTCGAGCCAAAGAAGCAAAAAAAAAACAGACGCCTGATCTCAGGTTAGTATCGCAGAGGTCAAGGGTTCGAATCACGCCCGTACAAGCCTTTCTTTTCACAACTGCATAAGTTGCCTATACAACTGCGATGATCTTCTTTCAAATAATTCTTCACTCCGCAGTTCACATATATGATTTTCATATATTCATAACTTCAAAAGTGAAACTTATTTCAACCAATCAGAAGCACTCTGAGTAGTGACACCTCATTGGTCATCCTCTGTTGATCCTCGCGCGTTAGTCAGACGTCGTTTCTCGGGGGAATCAGTAGTGGTCGGCCATTCTCAGGCCAACAGACAATCAATATTAAAACTTTCAACAGACTGTTTTTTTGTTGAGGGATTTTTTCTGACGTCACACTATATCACTGTTATCGTGTCATGTTTCAGAAGGTGTTACAAACTGACTTATTCCCTCAAAAAAATTGAAATATAAAAATCTAAAAACTAGAACTATTTGCCGAATGAAGTTTTGCATTGTGTGTGTGTGTCCGGAATTTGAAAATTCGATCATTGCTTTAAGGTGTCATTGGGCTAATGAAGCTGATATTTAGCTTAAAGCATTTAAACAAATGTTCCTTAAAGAACGGATGATAGAACCGTAATTATTATTTTGGAACAGATAATTAAATCGTAGCGGCAAGGCATTTTCACATTATGGTCTGGGGCTGATACATCTTACTCAAAAATTAGGAACATGTGTAAAAACACTTAAGCATAAGAATACATCTGCATCCTTCTTTTGATCCCCAGCTGTAACCCACAGTACTAGAACTAGGGGTACCTTCCGGCAAGTTCAAGCGAGGCGAATTCGTTTATCTTCTGTGGAATGTGCCTATTCAGATCTTCGCGATATTTTTTTCATAATTTTGAGGTTTAAAATGGATTCTGCTATAGAAAAGGATGGCACCCAACTAGAAAACAACAACTTTGGCACATATGTGCATGTATGAATAATAATGAGCAACCGCGTCTTTTCGGTCTCTGTGCCTTTGCCCTTTTTACTCTTCGTTGGGCGAATTTATGCCAACCACAGGTATGTCAGCTCATTCCTAAAGTTTGGACACATAACTGGGCGAATTTTCACTACATCAGAGTCGCTATTTATGTCTACAGATGGAGTTTTTGGTTCTCGATCTGCGGTAACTTCGTTTCTTGATGTCGTATTCGACCGGCCCTTTGGCCAATAGCGCTGAATTCTTGTCTAATGATCCAATATCTGCTTTACTTGGATGGAGTTTACATAAGAATGGAAGGCGCCATGACGGTGGGCTTAACAGTCTTAACACTTCATTCTTTCATGGAAGCTCGAATCAGGCACTGTGGAATATTCATACTGCGGTCTCGCCTTCTGGTATTGACACTGAATGGGAAGCCAGCCAGGAATTCCTGCCACCCCTGGCACAATTAATCACAAAGTGTAAAAGAAGAACATAAATCACCAGAAAGATCAAAAGATCTAAACAAAGTCATTGTTACTACCCCAACTCGGTTGCCAAAGATGGTCTCGTTCTCGCCGGCTGGTGACGTGGAAACAAATCCCGGTCCTGATGACGCAAACATGAACTGGAAGGAAAAGGTCAGTGCAAAATATTACAGTCAAGAAGAGTTGTTTAGCATGCAAAGGAAAGGAATTGACATGCAATCTATATTCTGGATCTTTTCATTACAAATGCGAAGCGGGAAAATTGAAATTAGATGTTAACCTTTGGAATTGCACTCGGTGTGAACTTCCGCCGCCATCTGATTCCTTTTTTGACTCAGATACAGAGCTTAGTACTTCTATTAAAATAGAAGTACTAAGAGAAGCAGCCAATATGACGAACTCGAAGACAACGATATCGACTCTTTGGACAGGTACCAATGGAAGATAAGTGGCTACTATAAGTTCAATATCAAGATCGGTTACTTATACATTAACAGCGCATAGTTAACAAAATCGATGAGGTGAAAGAGTTGCTAAATAGAAATATGGTTGATATTTTGTTTCTAGCCGAAACAAAGATCGACAGTACTGTTTCTTCGCGCTTGGTTTCACACCCAGGTTTTCGCACTATTCGCAAAGATCGTAAGAAGGGGGCTGGAGGTCTGCTTGCCTATATCAGGAATGAGCCCTCGGCGTATCGACACTTAAAACTAGAAATTAGCGATATTGAATCCATTTGTTTGGATGCCACGGAGTCTAATAACAGTCGCTTTATAGTGTGTGCTTTTTATAGAAGTCCAACTAAGTGCAAGGAATCTGATTTTCTCGCCTCCCTATCACAGCTGCCGAAAATATTTATAACACCAGAAAGGAGCTGGTTTTACTTGGAGACTTCAGTATGGACATGTATGAGAATAGAGATAAAGGCCGTAATTTCCTGACATAAGGCTGGTTGACTTTTGTAATCGATTCTGTCTCTCAAACCGAATCAGTGAACCGAAAAGAGAAACTATAAAATCATCTAAAAGTCTCATCGATGTTTTGTTAACTAGTCACGCGGAATGTTATGCTACAAGTGGTTCTTTACACCTTGGACTGAGCGATCACGACTTAATCTTTACAGTGCGAAAAATTAAGAATTCAAGGCCAAAGCCGCGCTTGATCGAGTTTAGGAGTATGAAGAATTTTAACTTGCCTGTCTTGACTTTTTGGCTGACTTAAAAAGGGTCTCATGGTTTTCGGCCTACACATTCGACAATGCTGATGATGTATGGGCTCACTGGCGAACGCTTTTTAAAAGATGTTCTTGGCCAGCACGTGCCTCTAATATAAAGAAAAAGTGGATTCGGGGCGACCAGTTGGCAATATGGATATATCCTGATTTGCTGCGTGAAATTTCGCACCGAAACAAATTATTCAAGCGCCACAAGCAAACTCCTACATCTACTTCTTGCAGGGGCGGATCTAGGGGGAGGGTGCCCCCCCTCTGAGATGACCTGCGGTTTTCTAATACAACTGGTATTCTGCAAAAAAAACTATGTGGTTTATTGGTGTTGAAGTAGAGCAAGAGACGAGTGCACCCCCTCCTAAAAAAAATCCTAGATCCGCCCCTGTTCTTGGGATGATTACAAGCGGCAACGTAACAAGGTTACGTCGCTAAAGCTTAACGCTTTGAAAATGTTCTGCTGTGACGCTTCCTTAAGTGCTAAACATCCGGGCGAATTTTGGAGAAAAATGAAGCCCCTTTTGCCAACTAGTTGTGGTAAAAACATACAAGGCGTCATCCTCGTTGAGGGCAGTAGTTTTAATTGTTTCCGACCCTGGGTGTGTGGCCGAAGTCTTTAGTGATTACTTTGATAATATTATTCAGTAAGAGCATAGATCTGACAAGGGATTAAGGCAATAAGCAATCTACGTTTCTCAAGCGAGTTTAATTACTCCCCAGTCAGTACTTCATATATCCGTAACATTTTGGACCACCTTAAAGGCAGTTGGGGTAGACGGTACTTCACCACGAATCTTGCGTTTGGGATTCCCAGTTCTTGCCGAAAAGGTGACTAAGTTGATCAGCTTCTATATTCTGAATCGTTCATTGCCGTCTGAAAGGAAGCAAGCGCGCATTACTTCTGTCTTTAAACGGGGGATTGACACAGACAATAAACCATTAACTTCGCTATAGAAGGTGTTTGAGAAAGTTATTTACGACCAAACTTGGAATGCATTTCATAACATTTTGTCCTCAAACTTATCTGGATTTATGAAAACTCATTCTTGCTGCACTGCTTTGCTAAAAATGACGGAAGATTGGAGGAACAGTATTGATAACAAGGAAGCTGTAGCAGCGGTCGCTGTGGACTTTAGCAAAGCGTTTGACGCCATAAACCACCCCCATTTGCTTGTGAAGTTGAAGGCCTATGGCTTCTCTCCACATGCGTTGAAGCTGATGTCCGCCTACCTGCTAGGTCGTCAACAATGTGTCAGATTAGAAGGCGTATGCTCTAACTTCAAAACAGTTAAATCTG